GTTGATCTTAGGCCATTTCTGTTTTGTTTTAAAGCAAAAGGTTCCTTTTTGTCATAAACTATCACATCACATGCGATGCACATAATGGTTCATGTATAAAGGCAGCTGGAGAAACTCTGTACTTACTCCCCTCCCTTCAGAAAGGTTTAGTCTACAGCCAACGTGGGTCCTTAATGTAACAGATGAATTGAGAAATGACTAGGGCTTGGCATATTTGTGTGGCTGCATCGTGTCTTAGTTGCGGTATGTGGACTCTTTAGTTGTGGCAAGTGGGATTTAGTTCCCTGACCAGGGATAGAACCCCAGGCCCCCGCACTGGAAGTGTGGAGCCGCCACTCACTCACTCTCTTATCTAATCCACCCTCTCATCCACCTGCCACTCATCCATAGCATCTACGGACCAGGCCCGATAAAGCAAAAGAATCACATAAAATCACTGACACAATATACTAATTAATAAAATAAGGACTTAGTAGCAATGTGATAATAAAATTATAAGAGCTATTTCTATTAGGTCAGCTCCCAGTTTTCACCTAAAATATGATTGGAATCATCACTGTATATGTGTTTTTTTTTTTTTTTTCATTAAAATGCCTTGATCTTTAAGTACTCAGACTTGAGTAAATCATTCATAGGATCAATATAGATCCTGAAGGCCAAACTACAATATTTTTATATTGCTCTTTAAGAATTAAAAATAAAAGTTCTCAAAGGTTTTGCTTATACAATGATACTATATAAAATGAAATCTATAGCTGAAATGCCTACAAATGTAATACATAATTCTTTGCTACTTATTACAAACACTAAACACTTATGAAGCAAAAATTTATCAGCAGTCTAACAATTTAGGGTTTTTTTTTTTTTTTTTTTTGGAGATCTCTTCATAAAATAGTAATGCAAAGTGTGCAGCGGAGCCTTTTTTATTTAAGTTTCCGGTAGTTAGAAATGGACTGTAACTCTCTGCATTAAATTTATTACAGCATTTTTCCAAAAATAGTCTCTGGCTCTACATTTTTCCATTAGATGGTAAATTCATGTCTGGGTAAATAGTGACACTTTAAAAGCAATGTCAAAAATGATGAAAGATGATTGTTACAACTTATAGTTTTAAACAGTTTCATTTTTAGGGATAATTTAATTTTTATTACAAATAAAAGGGGAATAAAAAAGAAGGGAATAGTCACATGGTATCTCTTTATCTTCATAAAGTCCCCTTAAAGGAGACCCAAAGGAGTTAAGTATCTTGTTCAAGGTCAGAGGATTAGCCAGTGTAAGAGTAAAGCCCTTGGTTTTGAACTTTTGTCCATCTGACTATAAATCCTGAGTATGTGATTTTGTGCCTCCCATGATGATTCTTATTTCCACATAAAGGTCAACAGAATGTGAAATTAATAGAAGTCTCAAGGGCAATTAGTAATGTCATCCTAATTCTGTTAAAATTATTCTATTCTTCTACCTAGTTTATCCCATAAAAGCTTTATCCCTGCAAAGCTCACCAATCCTTACTACTCTCCTATAGAAAGAAATGGCGATACTGGAGAAGCACAATTACTTTAGTTTTTCATATATATATATTTTAAACCTGAATTATGAATGACTGCAATGGTGTGTGTTTATATATATACTTTTTTCTCATTTCATATATATATTTTTCTCATTCTTATTACTCAGACTTGAGTAAATCATTCATAGGATCAATATAGATCCTGAAGGCCAAACTACAATATTTTTATATTGCTCTTTAAGAATTAAAAATAAAAGTTCTCAAAGGTTTTGCTTATACAATGATACTATATAAAATGAAATCTATAGCTGAAATGCCTACAAATGTAATACATAATTCTTTGCTACTTATTACAAACACTAAACACTTATGAAGCAAAAATTTATCAGCAGTCTAACAATTTAGGGTTTTTTTTTTTTTTTTTTTTGGAGATCTCTTCATAAAATAGTAATGCAAAGTGTGCAGCGGAGCCTTTTTTATTTAAGTTTCCGGTAGTTAGAAATGGACTGTAACTCTCTGCATTAAATTTATTACAGCATTTTTCCAAAAATAGTCTCTGGCTCTACATTTTTCCATTAGATGGTAAATTCATGTCTGGGTAAATAGTGACACTTTAAAAGCAATGTCAAAAATGATGAAAGATGATTGTTACAACTTATAGTTTTAAACAGTTTCATTTTTAGGGATAATTTAATTTTTATTACAAATAAAAGGGGAATAAAAAAGAAGGGAATAGTCACATGGTATCTCTTTATCTTCATAAAGTCCCCTTAAAGGAGACCCAAAGGAGTTAAGTATCTTGTTCAAGGTCAGAGGATTAGCCAGTGTAAGAGTAAAGCCCTTGGTTTTGAACTTTTGTCCATCTGACTATAAATCCTGAGTATGTGATTTTGTGCCTCCCATGATGATTCTTATTTCCACATAAAGGTCAACAGAATGTGAAATTAATAGAAGTCTCAAGGGCAATTAGTAATGTCATCCTAATTCTGTTAAAATTATTCTATTCTTCTACCTAGTTTATCCCATAAAAGCTTTATCCCTGCAAAGCTCACCAATCCTTACTACTCTCCTATAGAAAGAAATGGCGATACTGGAGAAGCACAATTACTTTAGTTTTTCATATATATATATTTTAAACCTGAATTATGAATGACTGCAATGGTGTGTGTTTATATATATACTTTTTTCTCATTTCATATATATATTTTTCTCATTCTTAAATTAGAAAGGAAAAAAGGAGAGAAGTTTTATTTTTATTTTTTGGGTAATTTAAAGTAAAATATGTTCAAACGAGCACAGTACTTTCAAAGTATCCTGCAAATTGTCATTTTAGTACAAGCACAGTGCTCCGTAACCATTTATGTCATTTATAGAAACAGTGCTCTGGTGAGAAGCAGGTGAACAATGGGTGCACAAAACTGAACTGCAAAAGCGGAAAGGAAAATGAGACTTTAATTTTCCATCACTGAATTTTCGGAGCTTAGAGAAATTTTTAAACAAAGGCTCAGTTGTAAGTCCGTTCCCGTGAGACAATCCTACATAAGTCAGGACACAGGAAGAATGAGTGCAGACGAGGGGAAATTGCTGCCATTCATGGAGGCAACTATGCAGAAGAGAATGTTTAGGCTACTGTGGAGATGTGGAATTTGAGGGCCAATTAAATCAGAACTCCATCATCTGACCTCCGCCACCTTCATTAGCCAGCAGCTCCAAGATTACAAACCTAATTGCAATTAACTGCTTGTATATGCATTTCTTTCTTTCCAATACTTACTTTTATTTGGCTGTGCCGGGTCTTAGCTACAGCGTGTGGGATCTAGTCCCTTGACCAGGTTGAACCGAGGCCACCTGCACTGGGAGCTGAGCCCTCGCCACTGGACCACAGGGAAGTCCCTGTGTATGTATTTTTGAAACACCTATTTTTCCTGCTTGAATGTCCCTCCACGGAGGCATACATCTTCCTTTTCCCTGGCACAGTCCTTGGCATAGGGCAAGCAAGCGGTAAACCTCTCTCCCCAGTTCACACTTTACGTAATCTGGTGGTTGAAGTCTGAGGTTTAGAGAGGAGCCAAGCTAGGTTGTGACCTTGACTCCTCCACTTAAGAGTGATGATGGCCTTGAGTGGGTCTTTCAACTTCTAGACACCCAGTTTGCTCACCTGTAAAATGGGACCGTAATAGACTTTACCCCACATGGCTGTTGTGAAGACGAAACGAGATACTGAGTGTAAACTGAGCACGGGGTGAGCACAGGGGTGATTCTCCACAGCAGCAGATCTTAGCAGTCATTACTGGGAATGGGAGTTGCGTTGTTCATCTGCTTTTATTGTATTTTTAAAAAAATATTTACTTATTTGGCTGCACTGGGTCTTTGTGGCATGCGGGATCCAGTTCCCTAATCAGGGATTGAACCTGGGCCCTACCCATTGGGAGCTTGGAGTCTTAGCCACTGGACTGCAGGGAAGTTCCTGTTCATCTGCTTTTAAACTTGAAAGTTCACTGAGATCACTTGCGGGAGCTGGTGGCAATGCAGACCTGCAGCCTGTCACCAGGCACCAGATTCTGCTTTGGTGGGGCTGCAGGGAAGCTTAGAAATTTACATTTTTAACCAGCATCTGGGAGTAATCCTGATGCAGGGCGTCTCTGGACCACCCTTGGAGAAACACTGCTTTAGAAAAAGAATCCTCATTTCCCAGATTTCAAAAGATGGACATACTAATAGTCAAGTAATATATGACTCTTTGGGTTGGATAATGAAAGTAAAAGAACAATTAGCATCTGGAGGCAGGGAGGAATTGAATATATTTCATTAAAATTCCACCCTGAATAGCCAACAAAATTTATATTACTCCCATATTCACTAGTGACAGCTCCCTCATGCCCAGTCTCTGTCCCCTAATTCTTTCAATACCGTCCCCTTAACAATGGGACTGAGAGAGCATGGTGGGGGTGGTGGTAAGAATGTCTCTGATCTGTAAAATCAGACTTTGTCATGATCATTTTTATGCTGAGGGGCTGGGGTCTTGAAATCTCACAATGAAATTTATCCTTTTAGCTTTTAGATCGGATTATTGGGATGTAAATTGGGAGACTAAGTCTAAAAGGCCTTCCATTTGCTTTTTTTTTCCTCCGAGTAAAAGCTTTCTAACACCAAAGTGCTATCGATAAGTCACGCAAGTGTAAATGCTCCTCGTGACTGTGCTGGCCTGGTCCTCGGTCTTAACCACAGCTCTAGATTTCCTGAGTTCTTTTCCTGTCCCTCCCTCGGGGTTTTATTTGCTAATAAGTTAAGTGCTCCTAATGGTACATTAACCCTGACAGATCAACTTAAAAGACCAGTTTCCAGCTAGTTACTGAAGGCCAGCTGGAAACAAGCCTTTAAGGGTTTTTTGTTGTTTTTTAAGAAAACGAAAAAGAAGGAAGAGAAGTGTTCATATTCACTCATGCATGAGTGCTTGGGGCTCAGGACACCCTGAAGTTGGAACCCTTCTTACCAGCAGATTCTCTGGTTTGATGTCACGGTGGACGATGTTGAGGCTGTGCAGGTATTTGATGGCGCTGGCCAGGTTGTACAGCATCCCACTGGCATCTCGCTCAGTGTATTTGTTAGTGGAGGTGATGGCATCGAAGAGGTCTCCTCCCTGAGAGAGAACAGCAGAAGTACATTAACAGATGGTCCGGTGGGGCCCAGCCTGGAGAGGCGCCCGACACGCTATAAATGGACTGAAGGATGTACGCGGGGTTTCTGGGTTCCAAGAATTTTCCCTGTCACCTCCCTCTCAAAGGCCCAGGAACCCTATAGTGATTCCTGCCCCCAATACGAGAGCCAGTGACATTTCCTCCAGAGCTCAAAGGAAGAAGGAGANACCTCCCCCCCACCCCGGCAGAGGCTGACTGTGTTCATCTGTTACCTAAAGGGCTAAGAGATTTAATTTTTTTTTTTAAACAGCAAACACAAACTAGAGCACCTGTAGGCTGACCATTTTCAAATCCCACTCCCTAACCTGGCCCTCTGCGACCCCTATACAATCCCTGCTCGGGGGGAAAGGGGTATCTTCCACTGACCCTCAACCTCAGCAGTTCCCGAACTAAGCAGATACATTTTTTTTTCCCCAAAATGAACACTGTCTCTCTCAGTGTCTGTCTCTCAAAGGCAAGGTTGTGCAGCTTTGCAGGTTGCTTCCGTGCCACCTGGGGAGCTGGGGTTTGCACTGCGGTCCACATGAACAGCACCCCGACCGTGTGTAGGGCCGTAGGAGTGACCCTGCCAAGACTCCACCACTGTCCTCATTGTCTAAACTCAAGACAGCCTGTAATCTCATTCCTTCTTCTTCGCCTTCAACAAAGCTGTCAACAGAGACTCTTGGTCCTGCTCTAAGACCTGCCTCTGACACAGCCTTCTGGGCTCTCTCAGGCTCTTACTCCAAAGACCCTGTGTACGATCATCACCTCCCACGCTGCAGGCCAATGTTTCCTATCTTTCACTCATGAAATCAGCGTCTGTTCCCATGGCTCTCCCCGCTCTGCCCCCAGCCTTCACTCCAACTTGCTTAAACTCATCTCCTGTCTCACCTGAAGCAGCTGCCTTTATGCTCCACGTAGCGTGTGTCTTCCCTGGTCACCCAGACAGACCAAACCCTCCCCCCAACTCCGCACTCCAAGCCCATCCCAGTCTCCTCCACGCCCTTTGTCTTTCTCGCTCCCGCTGATTTCTCAGTGCCGGCCCAAGCGCTGCCCTGACACAAGGCCTGCCTTCCTCTGGACACACAGGCAGTGCGCACGCGTTCACTTCTGCAGCTAGAAGTCGAATTTCACCCTTAAGAATGGTTTTACTGTTCACCCACTTCACTGTTTTCTGGAACGCAAACCCTATTTATCCAATGGCGTCAGGCCGTCCCTGGCCCCCTGATAGACTCTCAGGGTTTGACAAGCTAAATTCCTCAGGGGCATGTCATGGGAGCTTTTCAGGTCAAATGTGGGGCTGGCCTTCTGAGATGCTTCCAGACCTGGTCTCACAGCCATTCTCAGTCAGACTAAATGCAGGGGTACGATATGGTGGTGGAGAAGGGAAGTGACCCACCCCAGTATTCTTGCTTGGAGAATTCCATGACAGAGGAGCTTGGTGGGTTACAGTCCATGGGGTCGCAAAGTATCAGACATGACTGAGCGACTCACACACACACACACATCCAGTGGCTCAGTTGAGTCCCAATGCTGAGTTTTGCAGGCACAGTCCAGGCTTGTTAGACTGGTCACCCGGAGAGAATCCACGAAGGCTAAGTGGTACTTCGCTACAGTCACCTGACTAAGCATATTACTGACAATCAGATTAAGCTTTCCCACAAACTTGTGTTCTGAACTATTAAGCCTTTTCCTCTTTTATATATTATCTTCAAATTTAATTTTGTCTTAGCTCTCCAAGACCCAGCCAACAACAGGGGGTTGCTAATTAGTTTTTAATGGCACCCAGAGGGGCAGCAGGAATGATTTGAAGCTGTTTCTTTAAAAATTAAAGTCACTGTAAAATTACTATTCTTGGTCCTAGATAAAGTATAATTTACAATGTTGGAATTACCAAACTTTATTTGGTAATAAAGCGCCAATATGAAAATTTTCTGAATAATGAAATTGACCTTTCTTGATTGGAATAAGCGATTAACATTTTTATCTCCCTCAATCTCAACCATGACCATAACTTGGTGTTAGTACAAACTAAAAATCCTTCGCCCTCAGAGAAAAAAGTCTGAACTTCAAGTAGGAAAAAAACCAGACTTTATCTATAAATATAGATTAATCACTAAGTTAAAAGAAGGCCAATAGATCTAAAACAAAGGAAGTTTAGTACAAACTAAAAATCCTTCACCCTCAGAGAAAAAAGTCTGAACTTCAAGTAGGAAAAAAACCAGACTTTATCTATAAATATAGATTAATCACTAAGTTAAAAGAAGGCCAATAGATCTAAAACAAAGGAAGTGTGAAGAATGAAAGTTTAAAGTCCCTAGAATGGACATTTTTCTATACAGTAAGTGATTGGTTAATTAAATGCTTTGTTGGCCTTAACTCTTTACAGAAGGAAACCCCACATTCCAGCTGCCACCAGCCCAGCTGACCGATTCTAAGTAGAATTCCTGGAACCCTAGGTGTTCACTGGCACCCCTGATAGAGAAAATGACCTGACTAATTTACAACTAAAGTAGAAATTACTCATGCCTTTGGTCAGATTAACATAATAGAAAAGCCTTGAGCAAAGTACAGCTTTATGAAAACAAAACATTCAATTTTTAAAAACTTCTAATTAAGAAAATTTCACCTATGGAAGTAGAGGAAATAGGTAGGTTACCTTTCACATAGATTCAACCATCATCAACATCTGGCCATTCCTATGTTATATGATTGAATAGAATAAAAACGTAATTGTGGCAGGATGAGACAGTACCCATCACTGAGAGGCAGTATTCACATTATTATTAACAGGGTGCTGTTTTTCTATTACCCTGGAATCTAAAAGTTCAGAGCTTGTTTTTATAATAATGAATGATACTTTTGGAGTAGTTCCTGGAAAAGTGAGCAGTTTCTGCTGGAGTAACAACAATCTTACTGGCATCTAATACTCTGTGTCACAGAAGCTGGTGAAAGAGATTTCTTTTACCTTCAGAATAACACTCCTAGCAATATCGCATTTCACATAGGAGGGGCCCGAGGTACAGAGTGGTAGATCCAAGGTCAGGGACTATTTCAGTCCGGGCTGAGACTTGAACTATGGGGATATAATTCTAGTATTAAGACTCTTAAGCCGTTAAGCCCGTGCACGGCAATGAGATTGAATACTGCCGAGATGAAACAAAGGAGAGAGCGCTATCATACAGGAGAGTGAGGTGCCTTATATAGGTTTACCTCTTTTACCAAAACACACACCTTTACTAATTCCATGACAAGATACAGCTCCGTTGGCACGTCCATCTCTTCGATCAGAAGAACAATATTGGGGTGCTTCACTCTTCTCAAGATAGACACCTCGTTCTGGATCATGTGCTCCTGTTCAAGAGAAAATCATCTCCATCAAGACACACAGCAAAACAACAAAGGGCTAACTCAAATCAAGAAAGCCATACTATTTAAGAGTTTCCTTGGTGGCTCAGATGGTAAAAAGTCTGTCTGCAATGTGGGATACCTGGGTTCGATCCCTGGGTCAGTTTCCCTGTAGAAGGGCATGGCAACCCACTCCAGTATTCTTGCCTGGAAAATCCCATGGACCAACGAGCTTGGGTGGGTACAGTCCATGGGGTTGCAAAGAGCTGGACACAACTGAGCAACTAACACTTAACTTATACTATTTAAAGATCAAGGGAGATATATTTTGGTAAAATATAATAAGTCTATCTTAAATTCTGATATTCATATAGCCTAGAATGGGCAAAAGATATTGAAGGTCCTTAGAAGATGCTTGTAATTTCAGAGCCTATCATGGTTAACTATAACTGCATATAGAAGGATGAAATGAAACTTAGATCACAAAAGTAAGAGAAGAAGTAAATACAAGAACAGAGAGAAGGAACTGAAATGATATCCCATCATTTTAATTGATTTTGATACCAGGAATATTTATAGAATAAAATTATACCCTAATAAGTATATAACATTCTACTCTACCAAAACACAACTCCTAGGGTGAACCTATGTTTATTTGGGGGCTCATCTTGTGTTTTACTTTTTCTACCTCCAACATAATATATTTTCAAAAGAATAAAACCCTATACATACTTTGCCTCGACACTTGCTTTTCTTGATAATTTTCAGAGCATACTCTCTAGCAGTCGACCTGCAAAGAAAAAGTTTTGTCTTTTAATAAATGTAATTTCAGATGTGTTGAATCATCTTGTCAAGGATTCACTCGTACCCCACTGATCTGGCATCGTGGTGTAAGTTTTTGTAAAAAATTCTCTTTTCCGTTTTTGAAAGAAGTATGTGAATTTTAAGGGGTTGACCAAGTGTAAGGGCAAAAGAAACATGATAGCTCAGAAATGCCACAAGCTGTTAAGGCTGCCATAATTGTAATAAAGTTACTGCTACTGCGACTCCACGGGTAACTCCCCCTTGCAGGTGGCTGTGTCCTGCTCCTCCTTCTAAAGTGGACATGAAATAGGGGTGAGTTTCTGCCCTTCTTCTCCATTTCTCTTGAGGTTATCCCCGAAGTGACAGTTTTCTGAATGGTTCTCATGGTCACACTGATAACGTTTGAGACACAGTCCACCCTCTTTAGACTTGGGCTTGTGCAGCTCTATGTGTTCCAGTGGAGAAATCATGAATGAGGTGTTCCAGGAGTATAGCAAGGGATACAGTCGTTATCTGAGCATCCTGTGACCTCTTGAGCCTTTCAAAAAAATATTTATTTATTTAGCTGTGCCGGGTCTTTGCTGTGGCACGAGGGGTCTTCGATCTTCGTTGTGGCATCCAGGTTCTTTAGCTGTAGCTTGCAAACTCTTAGTTGCGGCATGTGGGATCTAGTTCCCTGACCAGGGATCAAACCCAGGCCCCACTGCATCCACATCAAACCCAGTGTGGAGTCCTAGCCATAGGCCCTCTCATTCGATAGAAATGAAATGGAGGTGACAATTATAAACAGCTCACATTCCCAAAGCCACCTGGCATTGCTAAAATCAGAACTTGAGTTCTTGGGGTCTCTGCTCCACATATAGCCCAGCCAACACTGCCCGTCCTCCATTGTGGGTGTGGGAGGGACGGCTTAGTCATACTGAACCTTTAAATAGCTTCCTAACTTGTGTGAACATTTATAAGATACTGTAGTGCCAATAGTGACGGTCTACTGTCAGAGGACACAATGCATCCTTAACAATGATCAGGAACCACTACTTCACAATCATTTCTACTTCAGATCTAGTTGGGAAACCAAGAGAGTCTAGCTTCTTACCTATAGATAAAGGCCAATTTTAGGGATACAAATGAATACTAAGGTAGTGAAGTTGATTAAGAACAAAACTTCAAAATAGGGTTTTAAAATTTTCACTTTGGAGAATCAAAGGGGAATTTCCTAGTTGTATGTTATGGTAAGAGCAAGAGAGTGATGTGCCTATAAACTAAGAGACCAGATAGTAACAATGTGTTTCAAGCATTTTAGAAACCATTCATGTTGTATGCTTCTCTTTTTAAAATATTTATTTATTTATTTATTTACTTGGCTGTGCCAGCCTTAGTTGTGGCATGTGGGGTCTTTAGTTGTGGCATCTGGGATCAAACCCAGATGCTTGCGTTGGGAGCTTAGAGTCTCAGCCACTGGACCACCAGGGAAATCCTCCTGTCATTTACTTCTAAAACTCCTTCTTCCACTGCACTTACAGGACCCTTCATGGTACTAGCTTGCAGAATAAATTAAACATTGACCAAACTGTTATAATTGTATCCAATGAGAAAATCTAGAGGCTTCCCAGGTGGAGCAGGGGTGAAAAACCCCTCTGCCAATGCAGGAGACTCACATCACAGAAGGATAGCAAGGACTCTCTAAGCGGCTCTTTTTTTTTTTTTTTTTTTTTGCGGCTCTTTTTAAGAGGCTTCTGAAGAGTTTCATCTGAAAACATGAAAATATTTAATCAAGAGGAAAACTAAAAGCTGAAGTGTTTCTGGGTTCTGCATTTCACAAATCACACACAAAATTATAATGAAGCAAATCTGAGACAGGAACATATGAGCGGTTTCCAATCTAGTCTGGGATGTTTCATCTGATTGCAGGGAATGTGGACTCCAGGACTGAAAGCTTTGACAAGAGCCAGCAGTACCGGGCAGGGCAAGAGAGCCAGGACGGCGCTGACGCTTCTGTTCAGCGCCTCCACACAGGATGGGAAGGTGCTGGGGAGAAGAGCAGGAATTTCTCGGCTGTGTCTTCCCTACGGTTACCACTTGACCCTCCATTTCCCTGGAATGAGCAACATTAAAGCTGTGCTGTACTCAGAACAGAAAGCTGGAGTGGGACCCCAGCAGGCTGACTCCTCCTCTGCAGACAGACACACACGCAGCAGAATCCCCAGCAAATAAGTGAGTGTGTTGGCTTCCAGGACACCAGACAACCAGGTTGTATGCTGAGCCTACAGCTGAGGGGTAAATGCAAGCAAACCTCGGCTACAGCGGCCCATAGCTTCCTAGGAAGAGGATCTTGTGGGCTGACTACCCAGAATCTTACAAATAGGAGTCAACACTCACTCAGATTTACCCACATTTTTTATCAGACAAAGAGCCCTGTGGAGGAAGCACCAAAATTAATACTGCAATTTTTTTTTTCTGGATTCTTTGAGAATAGAACTATAAAGTCATAATAAAATCCTTAATTGCTAGAAATGCATGTTTATAAGGAAAGAGGATGAATCTGGAATATAAGACTAAAAACAGGTGTTAGGACTAAATGTCCACCATAAGAATAAACAGTTCATAACTTGCTTTCAGTTGGTAAAAAGAAAACATTTGGCATGAAATAAAACCCCAAACAAGTATCTGCCTTCCTCCATACTCTAAACACTGAGGACCGCTGTGCCCGTGTCAGCATCCAGTAAGCAAGAGCGTGGTTCTTTGTCGGCTACACGGGTGATAAGAGACCTGGCCTTTGACCTCAAGGACTCTGCAGTTCGGTGTGTGGTGGAGAGAAGACACCTGGATTGCTGGGGAACATCCAGGCCATTCGCATGTATGTTCCTGAAATTATAGCCTTGACCTTTCACGCAGTCACGGAACCCTCAAAGGCCACAGCCAAAGCGGCAGCAGTGAGATGAGCTGTGTCTTCCTCCTTGTCCAGAGGGGTTGTTTGTCAGCTTACGTTCCTATTCAGTCAGACCTCAGGCCAGAGCTCCAACTGCTAGGGAGAAATGTCTGAACTTTACAAACTGGAACTAAATCTAGCCTTTCAGGGTTGTACTGACAATGGTTTGGAGAACGCCATCCTGTTTAGCACAATGATTCCGGGCCCCAGGACAGTCTTCTCACCCCTTCTTCCCTCAGCCCTGGAGGGCTGCAGAATGCTAATGAAAAGGGCACTCTGGACCAAAGGGACTTTTGTCATTTGCTCTGTTTTGAAGATGTTTATGAAGATTATGTGGAAGAGGAAACACAGTCCCCCAGGCATTCCTCTGCCACAGCCCTTACTGACTGTCATGGCGATCCTCTGCTTACAGGTGAGGTCCTCAAGCAGAGCGGCGGTGTCCTGACTCTCTTTGTGCCTCGGGAATGCCCAGCAGAAGCCTGAACTGGCAGGGCCTCCAAACACATCGGTGGAGCTGGGAGAACTCCAGAGGCTGGTGGCGCTTAGGACATCACAGGGAGACCCTGTCTCCTTGAGGAGTGAGTCCACAGCACCCTTTGTTGACCCAGTAATCAAAGCTAAATCTCAGCCTCCCCTGTGAGCAGAGAATGGAGGCACCCCAGAAGTGTCTTGTCAGACAATTCCGGAGTGGAGCTGTATTTTGAACTTGAACTTGGGCTCTGTGGCTATCAGGGGCCAGAGCATCCTTAGGGAGAAAAGAACACTGTCAGCTGAGAGACATTTAAAATCTTTCCCACTGAGTCACCCTCCAAATCCCACTTCAGAAGCAAATGCCTCCAATTATAGCTATACGGTTCTTCAAACATCTGAGGCCTTTCTAGGTGGACGCACCATGTCACTGATACTGCAGTCTCAGCTCGTTCTTGTGGGTTTGGGCCTGTCTCACACCATTGCCGGAGCCAAAGCTTTCAACATGTGGTTCTTTTATTTTATCCTATTAATTTTTTTTTTTTGACTGTGCTGGGTCTTCGTTGCTACTCAAAGGCCTTCTCTAGTTGCAGTGAGCAGGGGCTACCCCTCGTTGCGGTGTGAGGTCTTCTCATTGTGGTGGTTTCTCTTGTTGCAGAGCATGGGCTTTGGGCACATGGGCTTCCGTAGTTGTGGCTCGCGGGCTCCAAAGCACTGGCTTAGTAGTTGGGGTGCACGGGCCTAGCCACTCCGTGGCATGTGGAACCCTCCCAGACCAGGGATTGAACTGGCATCCCCTGCACTGCCGGGCAGACCCCTAACCACTGGACCACTGGGGAAGCCCTCGATGTGTAGTTCTTTGCGTCTCCAGGTGGAGCAGGGAGAGACGGAATCATGAGTGGCTACAGTTTTAACTGAGTTGAATCCTGTGCTGCCAAAACATGCAAGCAGTCAGGTGGGAAGGAGGGCCGGGAGCCACCCGAGACACTATGCCTGCTCACAACCGCGTCACTGGTACCCGTGGCTTGACTGGTAATTAATCCACACAGAGCCAGGAAGCCAGGGATGAAGAGCACCTCATCTCAAGCCCTCTATCCATCCTCAAACCTCATCTTAGCGCATTTCAGCTTTATGAGTTTTCTTTGAGGCCTCTAAAGGCTCCACAAAACAGCTTCTAAAGTTCATCAGCATTCTTCAGCACATCCTAAGGGCTCCCGAGGCCACTGGGGACGGTGCTGCGGGGAGACAGGCGGAAACCGAAATGGACCTGGCAGGTCCTAGGATGGGATGTGCTGACACAGAATCAGGAGGGATGCAATGTCACTGCATCCATTGTTGAGGAAACACTCCCCTGTGACAGGGCACTGTTAACAGGAGGGGAGGACATGCTCTTGCTCATCCACATCTATCCTTCCAAATGTGGCAGAATGTCCCCACACAAGCAGTGTGTGCACTCAAAACATTCTTAGCCCCCTTTTACTTTCCTGGACCTCTGGAAAAGATTAAAAGATTGTTATGGGATACTTCTGAGGACAGGGGGCAGCTGCCATATGTCCTGGTTCAGCAGGAGATGAATACTAACACTTCGGGGAGCAGCCTGGTGCTTAGCCTCTGAAGGCTCGGACAAGGAGACCCGAGATGCGAACTCCTGCAAAACGAACACAATCTAAACCAGAAAGAAAGAAATTAATCTGGGATGAAGAAATGAGAAATTTCTATCTGGGAAGACCAGGACCGCAGGACTAAGATGCCAGCAGGATCTGAGGACAGGCACACGCCAGACTCAACAGATGATGCCCCTGGCAGGGAACCAGGCCCCCGTGGGGGAAGAGCACCGCGATGCTGGACACGGGATTTTCTGCTGCAGCACACATTATGTTTAAAGGGGTTGGGTTTCCTATCAGTAAAAGCACAAATGGGAAACAAAACTATATACACACACACTTCTACCCATTACTTTGAGGATGGCTTTCCCGATTTCACTTCTGTCTTCTCTGTACAGGGACAAATGTGATGTGTGTGATTTTGGCCCTGGTTGGAGGCAGGAGGCAGCAAAGCTCTGGTTGGAGGCAGGAGGCAGCAAAGCTGAGTGGTCCAGTGGTGTGGGGTTTGGAGCTGAACTAGCATCCATGCCTTGCCAAATAGAAATACTTAACCATCTGAGCACTTACTGACCTGGGCATTTAGCTTCTTCAGGCATTCTTTATATAAAATGGAAATAGTTCCAACACCATGGTATTATGATGATACATCAATAAAATATCCTAAGTTAAGGACCCGGTATATAGTTTACATTCAGTCAACAGTGGTTGCTCCTGTTTGGGGAGGTGTGAGGTCCAGAAAAGTAATGGGACATTTTCTATGTTGGTCAGTCACGCAGCAAACTGTCCAGCTTTGTGGTGGGAGTGGGGGACAGAGAGAAGGAGGGGGAAGAAGGCCTGGCAGGGTCAGCTAAGGCGTTTCTCAAGCTGCCCATCACTCATACCTCTCCCCACCAAAGAGTGGCTGCTCTAGGGGGCTGCGACCATGTCCGCGGGAATGGCTTGGCCCAGCTGGTATGCAGGGAGTGGCACAGTGTGAGACCCACTGCTCCAGGGGAGCCTAGTGGGGGCTCCACTGCCTTAGTTGGGCAGAGGGTGAAGGGAAGCAATTCAGTGGACACTGGCCAAACTCAGGACCCTCGTGTCTGAGGCCCAGGCAGATGTCCAGCTCAAAGATGACTTGAATCTTTGTTTCGAAGTCAAAGGCCTTGCAGAAAAATAAGTTCTGGATCCTGCAGGTTAGAACTTTTAGTCTGAGGCATCTGCTTCAAATGGAGGCAGAGCTTAGAGCCTTCGTGTTGAGAACTCGGGCGGGTGGGTCGAGAAGAGCATTGGGGGAGATATCCACCCTGGAGGCCCCTGGAAGCCAGCAGACACGCTCCCATAAGGAATGAGGCAGGTGCCCCCAGCTCTCCAATACCCTGCTCACCAGCCCTGAGAAGAGGCTGCTGGCCAATTGGGTCCTCCTTAAATAACAAATTCCACCTCTAACACTGGGCTCAGGGTTTGAGGTGGCCTTAATCTGGGCTATAACTATTACTTGTCACTTCTCCAACTAGTAGCCCCTGCTACTGTCCTTAATTAGGTACCGAGATCCTAGGGATAAACCTTTCACTCTAAGCCCTCCCCTTTGGCCCACAAGAGCGCCTGGCTCATTCATTTTAAAACATTTTCATGTACTAAATGCCATTTTTTGTGGGGATCAGTACAGTTGCATTGTGAAGCTTTTCGAAGTTCTTATATTTAATTTTACAACATATACATATGAAAAATATATCAATATACCTAAGAATGTTCTGACATTTACAAAATGTCTCCCCAAAATGTAGAAAAAACTATTAAGCTTTTTTTTTTTAAAACAAAATAAAAGGACTTACCTGAAAGAGCTGGCAACATTTCGCTGAGTACATTAAAGAGAAAAATCAAAGCTCTTAATTTATAGATTGTCCCCAGAAATCACTACATTTTTCAAATCTGTTGTTAGATGAGCTGTTCTTTCTTTTACTTTTTTTTTAACATCTGGAGTTGAGACATTAACCTATTCCATATGTGCCTCAGACCGCAAATAAAGACACAATCTCGGAAAACATAACCCCAAGTGTTTCCTTTAAAGCTCAATGCAAATGATATCTTTCTCACCTTTCTACACATTCCTTGACAACAGCAAAATTTCCATCTCCTATTGTCCTTCCGACTTTATATCGTTCTGTTATTGTGGCCGGAATCTGGAAGCCTTCCTCCGACACTTCTGAAAGAATCATTAGTATGTTTTTATTAGTAGAAAAGGGAATACAGATGTTGTGCATAGAAGACGTTTAGAAGTATCATCTAATAGACTGGCACTGATTCAGAATCAATATGTCATTTTCTGGACAGGCAGGCTAGTCTCCCACCCCTAGCCCCTCTCTGACATTGTATAATCAACTGTTTCTACTAAGACAAATGATCAACTAAAGGAAATGTAAAATCTATGGGGTCCACTCCCACCTATGTAAGACCAGCTAATGCTTTCTGCTGAAGCGGGTTGTCTGAGGAGGAAGTTTTGCTTTTCATTTCATGCCAATTTGATCAATAGCATTTATGAATACCCATGGTGTTCAGAGAGATGACATTCCTATGTAGGGAGGAAAATGCAGTTTGTAAGGGACTCTGGACCGCTTGACACCATACAAGCATGAAAAATGCCTGCTGTTTGGACACTTAGCTTTACTACATCCTGAAATAGAGATCTCCGTAAAATTCCTTATGTTAGAACTAAGCACTGATCACCACCCCTCCCCAGTATCAATGAGCAGATTTTGGACAAATGTTTTCACCAGCAACCTGCGTGGCAGATGTTGAGTTAAATTGCAGTATCTATTATGTCTGCGAACAGAACAGTTTTGTAGTTTCAATTATGTTAGTGCCACTAACACAACGCATTTTCCCCCTTAAAATGCATTTTGAAACATTTTACAAATGCCTAATAATGCTTTAAATATCTAAGGTCATAAAACTAAATAAGCCACACTTAGGTCGCATAAATATAGTGGATAACCTTTAACATCTTAGGGGTATAAAAAGCTTTTATAGCTGGGCTCTAAAATTTACATGCTTTAAAGTTATAAATCCTGGCTTCTCCCTCAGGCAACCTGGATACAAAATGTGGTGGAAGCCTAGTGCGCTTTCTAAATGTGCTCCTTTTCTGACCTTTAATCACAAACCGAGACTAAACATTTCTTCTCAAAATAAAATTAAAACCTTAGGTGGCAAAAGGGCTTTCTGGGCGATTTTCGTGTTCTCATTGAGTTTAGTCTGCAAGGCTGGAGAACAGTCAAGAGAAGCTCACAACCAGCAGGCATCTGCTATAGGACCTTTACTTACTCTGTTTTTGCGATCATCTCCACCCTGCACCACTCTGGATGCTAGAATGGATGGGATTTCTGAAAAGTATTGTACAAATGTAGGACATTTGCTGCTGCTGCTTTTGTCCTTGGCGTTTTTGCAACCTCTTCACCGCTTTAAAGGTGACATTTTACTTTTAACCCACTAGAAGGCATCTCAGAGGTGTCCAAAGAAAGTGAGAGTTGGAGCCTTCCCTCCACTCCCCGCTCCATCTCACCCCAAAGAAGCCATCATTTTGCCTCTGTCTGAAAGATGCAGCCTAGGGATTTTTGTCTGGCCTATGATTATTACAGGAGATGGTTGGAGAAGTTTCAAAGCCACTGTAAAGCACCCGAATTTACAAAACATCTCTCGGATGACACGGTCTTAAGGCTCTTTCCTGCACGGATAATAAAAGTAACCATCCTTGTCTGTTGGAGGCAAGTCCGGTTTCAGATGGGAAATGGAAGGAGATGCTTCTATGTTTTCATGAAGGGAACACCCATCTGGAGCACATGGCTTGGTTTCTTTACCCCTGACTATGTAAAAAGGTATCTTTTAGGCCTCTGATTAAGAAGACTTAGCCACTGGCTTAGTCAAGGACCCTTTTGTTTCATTATAAATAAAACACATTGGAACAAAAGAAGACTTCTGGATGGCTGCATTTCATCCTTCTGGAAATACCAAAAAAGTCTGATATTGCATGGTAGTCAGGAAATAATCCTTGGGTCAGTCATGTATCTCATGTAACATAATGAAGTGCTTCCCCCAAGTGGGACTTTACTGGAAAATTAAATCCTATCCCTTCAAACAAATAAGGGGTGCTGGATCGCTAACAGTGGCTTGATTGTATCAGTTTTATACCTGAGTTCCTAAATACTTTCCCATAATTGATTTCAGCCTGATAATAACCTCCAGGGAGGAAGCAGGCATGTATGAGGATACAATCTCCATTTCATAGAAGAAAAACTAAGATGCGTAGGGCAGGAAAGGCTCATCCAAAACAATCCAGGAGTTAGCAGGAAACACCCATTCCACAACCCGAGTCACATGACCACTGTCTAAAGTGAATTCGCTGGAGGTCCAAAGAATATTTTTGCCATGCCATCAATTCAGTCTTTTTGTAAAGACAGATGTTCGCATTTCGACTTGACTGAAGTCTGAGTGCCTCTGCAGGGCGCTCTCAGCCAGAGAGAGTAAACAGGTCTCTCTCGTTGCAGGAGTGAACCGAATTTGGAAAACAAAGGCAACAGTTAGCCCCTTTTATCTGCAAGGAGGGCGAGAGCTGGCCTTCTAAGAACGCTTACACCTTTGGAGGGTGGGAAAGGTCTCCACATTTGGCTGACTCCTTCTTCCCAGCCCCCGGAGAGTAGATACCACCCCTGGTGAGAGCCACGTTCAGTCCCACCCCCTTGCGATGACCCCGAGCTGCTTCAGGGTCATTCTGCTGGAGAAATGTCAGCTTTCTGGACTAAATTTAGCCAACCCATTCTCCGTCGGGGTACAGGCTACGCCTTCTCCTCAGACACCACGTCCCAAGCTTACCACCTTCTCCGGGTCCGTCGTTCTCGTCCATTGAGCTGCAGACTTTGGTGGATGCGAGGGAAGTGGAGGAGCCGCCATGCTGAGAGCTCTGGAGGAAAAAGGAAATAGAGGATAAAAACTGTCCATCCTGCCCCATGTCTCCAGGTGCTGTGCCCAGCCCAGAAGCTCGGGCAGCAACTGCGCCCGCTGCCACGGCGGGGACCGGTCTCCACGCCCAGAAAGGGAGGTGCTCGCACCACTCAACTGGGACTACCGCTCCCCACCAGCTTCTTAACCAACGGCGGGTGGCATTAACCGTGCCAGGCTCATCCTTGTCGATTTGGACGTTCCATGACCTTCATTCATTTTCTCAAAATTAGCAGCCTTTTGCTCACTGTTTAGGTTTGGTAGATTTGAGGTGTCTCACCTCACTCTTCCATAGTCTATCTGCAAACAGGCTTCTTACAAGTGGTCACTCTGATCTCTTTTTTTTTGTTTAATTCTTACCATAGAAAAATTTTTTCTTCAGTTTGATTTTTATGGAATATCCTTTTAAGAAATATTCAGCTTTGCCACATCCTTGGGGAAAGATTAAAGAGTAGGTTTAATTCCACTTTGTGATAAAGACATAAGCACTAAGCAAGTTATTGATATGTTAAATGTTATGTAACAAGAAACATTTACTTATTTTAATTACTTTTCTTCCTGAGGCAAAGGTGAAACTAAAAGCCTAAGCCTTGCGATTCAAATTTTGGGTGTATTTGGACTCAAGATTGAGAGCAAACAGGGTAACAACTGTATTATAAAGCTCAGAGTGTGTGATAAGTCGCTTTAGTCATGTGTGACTCTTTGCGACCCCATGGACTGTAGCCCACCAGGCTCCTCTGTCCATGGGATTCTCCAGGCAAGAATACTGGAGTGGGTTGCTATGCTCTCTTACAGGGTATAAAGCTCTGAGGACAAAACAATACCAAATATTTAATACTGGGATCAGCCATGAGGCAGTATTTTAACAATGAATCTTTCCATCTCTGCATCTATTCCTTGAGAAAACAATTTGCACATATCGATGCTGTTTCTAAATAATGAACACAGCTTGTCCTAAAAGATCCTCCTTCTGTTTCCCTGGGTTTATCCACTTGGTTGGCCTGATGGGAGGCAGGAGGCGGTGAGGGGGCGGCATTGGCTCAGGGTGCCGGTTGTCTGTGGAGCAGAGAGAAGGGAGAGAGAATCTGTAGTTGAATTAATAATGAAGAAGTGGCGAGAAGCAATGTTGACCTACTTTTCCTCTGCTTACCTGTCTCCCTTCAACCTCCTCCCCATGCCATCCAGCCTTAAGTGTGCACAAAGTCGGAAGAGCTTTACATACAGTCATTGTGCCCAACAGCACCTTGCATAGGAAATTCAGACTTCAGTTTTTACCCAAAGGATGAATGTAACTGGGCAGATGCTACTTCAGTCACTGCCGGGCCATTTGGGTCAACTGCACAGCGTTCCCCGGGGTGTGTTAAGACGACCACGTTCCGTGGGACAAGTTCATCAAAGCTGACAGCTGCCATAATGGGGGCAAAAGTGAAACTCACAGCTGAGACACATCTGCTTCCTCCTAAGGCTTTCTGGAAGTTTGGTGGTTACTCTAGACGTTTGGTGGGTAGTCTAGAAGTTTTGTGATTATTCTAGAAGTTTGGTGGTAGTCTGTGTCGTGTGCCCTTTATTTTCCAGTATTTTAAGAATCCCCCATCCATTAGCCTAGCCTGGTGACTTGAGCTGTTTCCATCCTCTGCCACTCAACCTCCCCTTGTGGCCAGCAGCACCCATTTGCCCTATGTCAGGTCAGAAAGAGGGATTCAGATTGTGACCCTGTCAGATGGCTGTGATGCTAACTGTAGCCACAGCCAACTCTGTCGAAGGCACTGTGAATGTATGAGCCTCTGAGGGTGCTCTTTTATGAATGTCTGTTTGTGAAAACCTTGTATTTATAGTATTGGAATAGGAGGTTGAAACAAGGCAGATTTACAAGGTCAAGGTCTGGAGAAAAGAAACATTAGCGCTACCGCATTTGAGGGGAAGGTGTGTGTTTTCCAGAACAGGGAGATCTTTTATCCCCGGGGTCACTGCTTTTGCTGTAGACATAATCCTGTTCCAAGCAGAAAAACAGTAAAGAAATATTTACAATGTAGACTTTCTCTTCTGAGCCTTTCAATCCTTGAATTTCTTCCAGCAGCATCACAAATGGTGTTTAATAATGCAGACACATTGCGGTTTGGGGTGGCAGGTGCTGTCCCGTCATATGGTATTTTAGAATACAAAGACACATTCTTTCAGAATCAGGCATTCAAATTAATAGATTAGTAGTGTATTTCCTAGCAAAGATGCCTACAACTTATGGACTCAATTCCAAAATCCTGTTCTTTTAATAAGAACACCAGACACTCAACACAGAACACTCACCCAAATAATATGAAAACATTCTTTTAAACTGTAATGTTTAATAAACTTGCTGGATATTGTTCACTAAACTGCCTTATCAATGAATGAATTACATTTTCAACAGTGCCACCAGTTGTCTGATGCCCTGAACAATTGCTACATTGCCAGCTGGGTTTTTCTCTGCCTTATGAACAAAACCCCTCAAGGTTTTAGGCTCTGGTTTAAAAAAAAAAAAGTAGGGTCAACACAAGTCTGCTTATGCTTAAAACTGCTTATTTTCAACTTTAGTTTTCAAAATGTACTCCAGGTCATTTCAAATTTCACGCTACCTGAAGGTAACAAACAATGTAAGAGAACATTTAATTACAAATATGGTACTCTAAAAATGGAAAGTTCTCATTTCATTCACTATGCTCAAATACAGTAAAATAACTGTATTTAATTTCTCGTTACTTCTGCTTTTCCCCAAAGAAGTAAGGTGGTTAAACGTTATACACCTTTCCAAGACAATGGCCATTCACGGATTCAAAGAATTTCAGGGACTGAAATGGACCTTAAATATTACCTCTTCTACCCTACTTCCATTGAGAGACCAAATGCCCACTATAAAAATCCCAGCCACGTGGTCAAATGGCGTCTGTGCAGACAGCTGCAGGACTGAATCCGTATTTCCTGAGGCAGCCCGCTGACTGTTAATAAGGCAAGTTATGTTCAAGTGATGTCCTTTTACTTTTTCCACTTGTCATTCTAATCGCTCACCTCTGGAGCCGCTCAGTACAGCGCATGTCCCAATAGGACAAGGCTTCCAAAATTTGCAGAGAGCCACTGAACCCCTTCTGTGTCTTCTCTTTTTTTCTTCCCCCAATTATTTTTATTAGTTGGAGGCTAATTACTTTACAATAGTGTCTTCTCTTTTTCAATTTCGATAATCCTAGTCTCTCTGGTTATTTGTCGTAAGACAGGACCCCATGACCCCCTTGATCCTCCATTTGTCAATATCTCTGGTTAATGCTGGTGCTCAAAGCAAATGAAATATTCTAGCTGTGCCCTGACCAACACAGGACAGAGAAGGGTAGTGTCGTCTTCTTTGTGAATAGAATACATTTTAAGTATAAATACATTTAATACAATGCATTTTAAGATCATATTGGCTTATAGGTAACAACATAACTTTTAAGCCTATACCGTGTCAGATCTCCATATTCTGTATTTGAGAGGTTAGTATTTTGGGTCGAGTCTAAGACTTCTCAATTATTCATGTTAATATCAAATTTATTACATTCATATCCTTCCAGCTTGTTATTTCCTCGATTCTTATTTTATTACCCAATGTATTGCTCTCTCTCAGTTGAAGCCATTCCGTAATCACCATGGCCCTCTATGTACCCTTGTTACAACTCCTAAATATACTACCTTAGACAGACTATGAACATTTTGATTATTGCCCTAAGTCTGATTGAAGGATTTTGAACCTAATAAAGGGGAAATGTGTAGTTCATGTTCCTTAGAATTAACCCAATGAGATGAATCAGTCTTTATTTATGACCTACATAGAGCTGAAGAGTCTGCTTATATTGTGCCATGCTTATAAATGAAATCAATTTACTAATTTTTTTCACAGAACATAAACCATTTCATAGTATACATGATCATAAGATTTTGGGTTTGCTTCAGTCAGTTTGCTAATTCTAAGGCATATAGTGTACAGTGAAAAACATAGTTATTTTAGAATTTAATGCAATTGGCTGCTCTAAGAGATACTGTGACATTTGAAATGTCATCACCTCAAAGCAGATTTAATGGGAACCAGGTGGACAGGTTGCTGGCACCTGGATGCTTTTATGGCACACCTTCATAAAAGCGCTGCCCTAAGTAAGAACACATCCTAAGTGTAGCTATTTAGCTTGGGCTCATATAACAGATGGAGAACATATCACACTTTTTGAAGTGAGAAAGCTGACATAACAGTTCTAACCACATTTTACCAAGATGTATCTGATGACTATGTGATAAAAAAGTTCACTTCAAATATAAACGGTATGTTACTCCTGCCATTTGTATTCATATTATTGGTGTTACTCAGCTGGGATCCACACCAAATAAAGATTACAGGAATATCCAATCGATCCAACTGATGTAAGCAAGGGAGAAAAATTTCACAAGATAACTTTAGCCCTTTCTTGATAATTGTATTATTTCCATTTCACATTTTGTCCTGGCGTATAGTTATTATTTTGGTAAAATTTTTTTGGGGGGGGGGATGGCAATATAAGAGTTTAAACATCAACTGGATCAATTTTATAAAGGAAACACAACCAACAAATAGTTAACAAACTCATAAGTGTCTTGGTGATCCTAACTTGAGGTCTGTAGAATCTCTAAAGATGACTTCATGTAGCAAAATTAATTCATAATCTTGGTGTAGAGAGCTTGAGACCCAAGGGACTCTGTGCGCATATAGGAAAATCATACATTTACTTTGCAAGTGGGTAAAGAACAACAAGCTGATGACATCAATATGCAATAATTAACAAGGCTCTATTACTTGAAACAAGGCACAAAAGAAATTCCTTTCCCGAAATTCCTTTGTCTGCATTCTCCATAGTATGTTTAAACCTAACGTTTATGGCACAGGCAACCATGTGCATAAATCAGAATGCACAGTGAAACATATAAAAG